GCTCCACTCGTTCTGACTAAACAGACAGCATCATTAAGTTACTGAGACGCTGCTCCACTCGTTCTGACTCAACTGACAGCACCATGAAGTTACCGAGATGCTGCTCCACTCGTTCTGACTCAACTGACAGCACCATCAAGTTACTGAGACGCTGCTCTGCCATGGTGATACGGCGTATACTCTTATTAAGCTTTAAGACACGTCACCTACAAAGTAGGCAGCCAGGGGATTTTCTAAGCAATCGAAGACACTAAACAATCAGTGGGCATCGACAGCGGGAATAATTATTAGAGCATTCAATTAATAAATGACTTCGTGACGATCTTTGCCAGTTAGCATGACAACTTTTAAAATGGGGATCCAATTTAGGGGGAACTTTTCTAGTGCGAGGTTCTTAGTAAGTAACATCAATACTGTCTGCTGTTCTTTCGGTTGTTGCAAAAATGCAGATCAAAGGTTTCCCCGTGTCATATGCTTTCAGGCTTCTAAAACTAACATATGAACTTGAGATGTTGTTAAAGCAATGCCCATATTCTCAATCTGCAGGTATTTGGAAGCCATACTACACAATTTCCAAAGTCCACTCATGGTGACCAAGTAGAGGCAGAATTCAAATTCTAAATTATTCACGTGGGTTGGAAGTTCACCAGCAACTTTGGAGTAAAAGTTACTGTTGTGCCCAACAAATTCTAATGTAAACTTCACAACAGTAACTGTACCGAGAAATAAAGTACAATATTCTGATTGGTTTGACCAATGTGTTTTCTCAGTGACTTGCAGCGTACCACTTCTTTTAGGTTGCAATCACTGCGGAATATCCTTGAAGGGACCATGCGTTTTTGTAATATTCTTAATAAATGAAAAGTTTCTGGACAATTCCAAAGAAATTTGTCCACAAACACTAAATTTCAAAGGTTTGCTATCAGGTGCACAACAATACGCCTTTGGGTCCAAATCTTTCACACGTGTGTAAAGATCACCGAGGTTGTCAACTGAAAGATTGTGGTTTTCCAACACACTGCCATGTCTAGGAAAAGGTTCAATTACTTTTAAATTTTCAATGACATGTCTAACAAAAAGAAAACAAAGTTGTTTTTGTTTGCTGCAGTCAGGTGACGTCAGCAGATGAAGTAGTATTTTCCCTTTAATATGTCACTTACAACAGCTTCAGAACAATCTTAGCACTGACATGAATCATTTCATTTTTAGATGAAGGTATGGGGTAACCAGTGTAACCATGGGGCTTAGTTTTGTCTTTGTGTAGATGTTTAGCCAGATCTGAAATTGTGTTTGAAACTGTGTTACTCACTTTTATGAATTTTATTGGAGTTATAGATCCCTAATGTCGAAAAAAAACACCTGATTCCCTGACAGAGAAATGTACAAAAAACCGAACAAATCATCTAGTAATATTACAGATACATTACTAAAACATGAAACAGATATTGTTTCAGACATTCATATCCTACAGAATGGAGTACAGTAAGATAAATGTGGTTAAAATGGTCGCATGCATGAGTATGTAACAAGACAAATATGAATAGAAACACCCGTAAGGAAAAACTTGCGTATTATATTCTTAAGCTTAATGCTAACCTCGTCAAAGAATAAAGGTTCACCACGATTCAGGCGTGACCATCAATTTCTTATGGACAAAGTTTAAATGTTCATAACGACTTTTCATTAACCAATTGAAACCTGTTTCAGTAGAGAATAAACTGATTAGGTAGAATATTAATGATGTGCTTCTTATAAAAATTCAGTTTAATTGTTTTAAGACATATCTATCACTATTAACAATGTAATATGTCTTTTGGTCATCCAACTATATTTCAAAGACTGGCAAAAAACGATGGAGTGATCAATCTAACGAATGGTCAATTGAAAAACGGTCTAAGATCAATTCCTATTACAACTAACAATCACTCGTTATATTCCAACACAAGATGAATCTACTAAAAAGTTCAAAATTGTCTAAGAATCAAACACCTAACGTGAGGATATCAATAAATTGTCTAAGAATCAATCATCTAACATAAGGATATCAAGAAATTGTCCAAGAATCAAACACCTAACGTGTGGATATCAAGAAATTGTCCAAGAATCAAACACCTAACGTGAGGATATCAAGAAATTGTCCAAGAATCAAACATGAGGATGTCAAGAAATTGCCCATAAATCAAACATCTAACGTGAGGATGTCAAGACTTACGTGATATTCTGTCTTTGAGTTAGTTTTGTTTTTATACTTTCTATACGGCTAAAAATGACGCAACGCTGAGGAACTTGATTTGAGACGCCCCAAAGCCTGTTAAATATCGAAAAAACCAATAGGCCTAAAAACTGTTATTAAAACTAGTTAACTGCATATTTTCCATACATTCCTGTTAATTTGCCTTTCAGTAGAAGAGGTGTGTAAAGAATGGTATTTTAGATCTATCTTTTGTCTCCCAGGAGTCACTGTCCAATAAGTTTTAAGCTCAATACCAGTACTCATCAGTTGGACTGAAGAAGTCATGTAAGGCTAGTAACGTAATACAATTCTGAATCTCCTTCATAATTCGGTCTTTCGTTTTGCTTTTAGTTATTATTCTCCTATTACTTTTATCGCGTTTCCCTAATCGATTTTACAATTATCTTAACATAACTCATTCCACCTTAATCTCACATCACAGACATTCAACACCCTTCTCTGTCATTCATCTTTAATCCCATCTATCCAGGGGTATGTTAACTTATCATATTATCCTTCACTCAACATTTATATTCTTATAATTATCTCCTTCTAATATTTATTCACCACTATATTCGTTCAGATGGTCCACCTTCAATCACCCACTTCCTTCTTCCTACATTCTTGTGCTTTGACGCATCTCTACCCACCTCTACTAATTCACGAATCATTCACCTATCAGGTATATATATATGTGCACATACTTCCCCACACATCCACCCCCACCCCTTCTAACCACCTTTCCTTCACCACTACGTCTATTAAGCTCCACTTATAACACCATTCCTCATCTATTTCCATTCTATTTATCATATTTTTCCACATTCGTTCGATAGAGCACTCTTTACCATGATCGTCTGCGTTGCAAATGATGTGTTCTTTCACGTGATGGGATGTGTGATTGGGCTCTGGAAAAGCCTCGTGCTTCATCCAGAAGGCCACGGTAAAGTTGTCTGTCAAGTTGTGGTTCAACACCGTCTCCGGGACCACCGCACTCGTGGCACCATCAAACTCGTAGATCTGGTCGCTCTCATGGCCCTCATCAGTCGGGAGGTTTCTAGTCCACGTGGCTCCTAGTTCAGGTGTAGGGAGCAGATCCACACTTTCAGAGCTGGCACCTATCAATAGAGGGCGAATTATGTTAGACTTCTATAAGAAAATAACCTTAATAAGGCTTTATACACACACACACATACACATATATATACAGCTAAAGAAAACAGTTGCGATTGTAAAAACAGAAAACAAGCAGCATGTTTCTTTATTACTTAACTAGTATAAAAGCCCGCCAAAAATGCAGGGAAACCAGAGCATACCAAATTTGAATACCCGAATATGAGTTTCCACTCATAAATAGACATAAGAAAAATAAAGGGCCTTCTAGCTTGGAAAAACCAAAGCCTATCATGAGCAATATCTACTTTACCTAAAGAGTGTAAACATGCTATATATTGGTGCCTTTGGATAAAATATTAAAACATTCGATGACCATTGACTGCATACACACGTGTACCTGTTCTACTTCTGAGGAAAACTCGTCATCTTCCCTACAGATAATTGGTATCTTCAGTTTGTTTTAACAAAGGCATTTTTGTAATAATTCCCAAGCATAGACTTGCACTAATTTTTTATTTGTTTTTCACAGGAGCCTTCCCAGCTTTCCTATTCGGATCCTACGTACCTTGACGTCATAATGAGGTGGATGATGTGGTGTCACACACACACACATAACGCCATGCCTGATCTGGTCCTGTGAACTTCCTCCTTGACAGACTTTTATATAGCAGAAAAAATGCCGAAAATTTAGGAGCTATTTACGCCTATGTTAGCGATTAAATTCAACTAAAATGGGAACGAGCAACCAAATAGGAATTATTATAGGAGAAAATGTGGAATTGGACTCGTGTAGCTCACGAAATTTGGAGAAATCGAGCGTGACTGACCGACAGTTAGACTATATACATATATATTGATAATGCCACGAAACAGTCAATTCCAAATAATGTTCTTGGTTAGATCACACCTATATCCAAGGGGTATATATCGCAAATTGGTTGGTTTATCTGACATCACACGATGATAAAGTCGCGCTAATTATATTTACAGAAAAAACGGCTAATAACAGAAATCTGATATGAGATATATATATATAAAACTGGCTTCTACTTTACCTCTCATGCGCTACTAAGAATAATGAAATTTTCGAAACGTCAGTGTATAGCGATGTTAAAGTACCCTTGGTATTCGTGTTAGACAAGAGTTACGTTTGTTTGCCACACAGTGGCTCATCGGTATGCCTGCGGATTTACAACACTAGAAACCGGATTTCGATACTCTTGGTGGGCAAAGTACAGATAGCCCATTGTGTAGCTTTGAGTTTAACTTCAAACAAGCAAGCAAGTTATGTTTGTTTCTGAACGAAGCCACATTGGGCTATATGCTATATCCACAACGGGGGAATCGAATCCCGGGTTTTTGCATGGTAAGTCCGTAGGCTTTCCGCTTTCCCATCGGGGGTACAATGAGTTATGAATATAACAGAGGTAAAATAATCTAAACTCTCAAACATAAAAACTGTTTTTTCTTCAGTTTTTTCAACATATTTTAAATTTCGCGAGTGTACATCATTATATCTATTACATAGTGAACTGTATTCTCAGAAAGGAACTTTCAAAATTAAAATAAACACCAGAGTTATGTCCATCGATATTTACAAAATTCTAATAATAAAACTGTAAAAACAACCATCCTCACTGGTATATTATGAACTACGGGCAACATTAAAAATATATTATAAAAATGTACTGTGTCCGATCACTTATATATACACACACACACATAAATTCGCGTCGTCATGAACACTATATCTACCCCCCAATGGCACAACGGTATGTCTACAGACTTACAACGCTAGAATCCGGGTTTCAATACTCGTGGTGGGCAGAGCACAGATAGCCCATTGTGTAGATTTGTGCTTAATTACAAACAAGCACTATTTCTAACGAAGCACCTGATCAAAACCGTGAATAAGTTATACATTCATCGATATCAACATTAACACGGTAAGCTTCTACCAATCCACTGTTACTCTACCCCGAAACTTGTGAAATCTATACTAGTATATCGGTAATCCTCTTTAGAACATAGTAATCATCTTCTAATCTCTCGCTAATCTCTTCTGATTGCTTTCTATTAGCAAAGCCTTCTTATATGAAAGAATATGGGGATTAGTGAGAACGTAGGTTAGCCTTTTTCTCGTTAAGTGGTTGATTACTGCGAAGTTCAAGATGATCAGACAATCTTACACAGCACTTTGATAAAAATTTCGTTTAATAAAATATTTAAATATAAATGCTACACCAAGTGTTTCATGTAGTTTTTAAGCAATATACCCGCATCGATTGATAAATAAAAATTGCATGCCTGTCTTTCAGGCTTTAGATTTACATTAAATGTACATCAGTTGACACGGGATCTACCACAAGAAAGTCATTACCAAAAATTGAGGACTGAGATCCAATAGTTGAGTCTTTCCAACATCCAATCACACAAGGTTTACACAAGAACATTGCTCTTCTCTTCTTATCTTAAAGACTAACGATCGAAAAAAACTCATCTTCATTGTTCATTAACAGTGACGTCTCAGGGGCGGTTCAACCGGGTGGAAAAATGCGTTATCTTTGTTCATTGATCGATGGATCAACGGGCTAAAGACGCGTTTACAAATAAGATTGGGTGGGAGCATTTTCTAGCTTACTAAGAAAACTTTTTTATAAATACGATATATAGTAATCGTGCTTAAAAGAGCACTTCGCTTTAGATATGTATGCTTAGTCTTAACGCCAGAGCTCCATACATAATGTTAATCTGTATGCTGTAAAAAGAGTGGGTTTGTTTTGAATTTCGAGCAAAGCTACACGACAGCTATCTGCTCTATTCGTCCCTAATTTAATAGTGATAGACTAGAGGGATGGCAGTTAGTCCACACCACCCATCGCCAACTCTTGGGCTACTTACTCATTTACCAACAGTGGGATTAACGGTCACTTTATAACGCCCCCACGGCTGAAAGGGCGAGCATGTTTGGTGACGGAGATTCGAATCCGCAACCAACAGATTGCGAATCGAGTGCTCTAACCACCAGGCCCCCAGTGGCACAGCGGTATGTGTGCGGACTTACAAAGCTAGAATCCGGGTTCCGATACCCGTGGTGGGCAGAGCACAGATAACCCATTGTGTAGCTTAGTGCTTAATTACAAACAAACAAACAAACCACACAACGACATGCCCTGTAAGATTTGACATCAACTAGAAACAAAATACACAAATTCCAGCAAGATTTCAAACTCGCCAAGCAAAAGCATGCAATAAGACTTCAAACAGAAACCATCTTCCGCCCAAATTTCCAATAACCAAACTCATCACAGAACAGCACACACTCAGGCTTCAAATGTGCAATGTATTTCAAACAAATCACATAACAATACACACACACTGAGACTTCAAACAATGAAACTGTACAACTTCCACCGATATTTCAAATAGCCAAAATCATTACAGAACAAAACCCGGAACCAAAATTTCAACCAAGCAAACTATAAAATTTCTAACAATTAAACTCACCACACAATTTTCGCTGGGATTCCATGGAGTATGTGTCACGGTCACAACCCTTTCCAATATGACCAGTGGCCATGGCGACCCTGGCGGACAGTTTCTCGGGTTTACACGGGACATCGCAAAGGTCCAACTTAGCACTGGGGAATAGCTTTTGTTGACCAGACTTTGGCAAATACTCTATTCTTTCGTACACTCCTGATGAGTAAACAATATAAAAAAACATTTGACACACAAAATTATGATCAAGATACACAAATACGATAAATCGGTTCAAAACTGCTCCAGTAGCTATTTAGCTCTTATTCCTTTCCATTAAACTCACTTTCCTCCGTTACTTAGAGTTCCGTGTTAAAAAAGGGAATGTGTAATCGAGACTTGTATTATGATAAAAGCTAAAATTAACTAAATTTTTGCTTTACCAATTAAGTAATACCGTAAGCAAAGGTTACCAAAGATTTCAATTACGGTTATCTGCAGTTTCATATTGTTTTAATGTCACAGCAAATTCTGTATACCGTTCTGCTGTTGTGTTTATTTCAGTTTTAAATAATATAATTTTTGAAAGCAATGGTGATTAGTTCATTACAGGACCACAAGGATCATAAGCCTTACTCACCAAATTACTGAACAATCTAATGCTCTTTCAGTGTTGAAAGAGGTCGCAATAAAGGGATCATATTCCCATGCAAATAACCACATTGGAAAAGGCTACTTTTATTTAGGTTTACAGCATTACCTTGAAACTTTTATCCAATCGTCTTAAAAGCCCATGCGTTGGATGAATGAAAATAGCTTGGTACAAAACGTGGCGAATTCTAGGCTACCTTGTTTGGTGTGGTAGTTCTCTGCTTTGCAGATTTAGAACTGTTCTTATTTTTGATTTGTCATCCGAATATTTCAAAATCTAAGATAAGGCGAACAGCTGTATATATGGAATGTCATTTACTACCAATTAATTATTTGTGCTTATCTGGTAGACCCAAATCTTACTTCTTTAACTAATGCAGTGAACGTCTGAAAACACCTTTTTTTACAGCCAAACAAATAATTTTATTTAATGTGAATTGGAAAATCCAACTGTGCCAAATAAGGGTCTTAAAATTGGTTGGATTTTTACTTTATTCACCTGGGAATTTTAAAGCTCGTGAGAGAACATTCGGTTAGCAAAAAAAAAGTTAACGAAAGAAGAAATACAAGTTAATGAATACTAGTTATATGTCATCAAGAATAAAACATCCGCTGATTTTGATTGAAATTGATCTTATCAAACTCACAGAATAATTAGTAAAAAGTATTTATCTTTATTTAAATGAAAATCTCTTTCAATGTATTCAATAAGCTCGAAAAAGTTTTGCATTTTTAATACACACGCACAAAAAACACATTTTTAATTATTCTTCACTTATAGCTTTTCTATTTTTTATCTTACCTTTCCAACCAAGATGGCAGACTTTGTTCACTTTGATGTTCACGTTTACTGGTTTTGACCTCTTCATGCCACAGTCAAATGCTACAACTCTCAGAATATAATTGTGGCTTTGTTCCCATGACAACGGTTCTGTGTTTCTAATACGCCCTAAAGTAACACCAAAGATTGTTATAATATATATATACGGCGTCAGCAGAACAGTTTCAACTCCACCAGACTATTATAATATGATGTTAAAATATTTATATTATATTAATAATACGATATTAACACAGAACGATTTACATGATATTCTTCATTATCACAGTAAATATTTACACCCTGTTGTTGTGACTGTTTTAATAATTTAAAGTGAAATTACAAGCAACAACAAAAAACAGTGAAACAGAAAACACATGTACTGCAAACAAATTGGGAGATACATTTATTCAAATGACAAACTACACCAAATTTCACTTAGTCTTCGAAACAGTTTAAAAAACGCACAGTTTAGCCGTCCAACTAAAACATTACTAGCATTAATATATATATATATGCTAATTAAAGTTTCTAATAAAAATTCACGCTTATAATCTGTCCTTCTTGTGGTTTATAATGCACAACTATTATATCAAAGTTTGATTCAAAAAGGTTATCACCCGTAATAGCTTTTTGAGCTTTCTTTGCGCGAGTTAAATTTTAATATTATTAGTTTCTCTTTTTCCTTATTAATTTTCGTTAATAATTCCTATTATGACTGAACCTAAAGCTTCTCTTATCTTTAAGAAAATATAGGCAAAAGCTTTTTTTCCTCGTAAAATGAAAGAAAGCTTATTCAATTAAAATATTATACTGCCTTTGTGCAATTTTCAGTGTTATTCGTTTCTTCTGAAATAAAGGAACAAAATCAAAACCAAAGCTTAATGAATAGCTGTGATATCGGTACCGTTTGTTACACGAGCAGACGCATTTTTCCTTCGTTCGATAAACTCGCTAAGAAGATAAAAACACAGATTTTTTTTTAAAAAAAGAAGGTATTTCTCAAAGGTTTTCATCATCTTTTTTTCTTGGTGTTTAGGCTTAACATCAGTATTAGTCTGGGTAGATTTCATTAATTAACACTGAGAGAGATTCCATGCGAAAGGATCTTTGCATGTGTTGTGTAATTTACTGAAATCCAGGTTTTAAAATGATTATTCTGACGTTTAGAGGATAAGTTTGGCTTTCACGCTTCAGCAATAAGGCCTATACACATACACACAATAAAAGAAAAACGTGAAATCAACCAATTTATATAAGCGTGCATCTGGTACTTTTACAAAATGTGTTACTTCACACTGAATTAAATTTAATCATATATGTTCTTTATTCTTGTCAACATTTTACTTCACTGACATTAAAGTCACTGGCACATAGCTTTCAAAAGGAATCTATAATATTTAAAAAATTTTTGACCACCCTCTATCGCCACCCAGTGGCACAGCGGTATATCTATGGACTTATAACGTTAGAAACCGGATAGCCCATTGCGCAGCTTTGCGCTTAACTAGAATTTGGGGCCGTGTATGTATGTGTGTCTGTCTGTGTTTCGCCACGTATATCGAAAATTAATAGACTATTGTACACGAAAGTTTTACACAAGATAGGAAGTCAGTATGGGTCAGTCCTCTCCAAATTTGGTCTGGATCTGGATCACTTTGAAGCATTGTTTATAATGGGCATTTGCGCTGTTTTCGGTTAATAACTTGTGTAAAGTGTAATCGGATTTGTACCAAAGTTGATGGGCACACATTAAGGTTGAGATTCCTCATCACACAACAACATAAAATTTTCCAGATCGTTGATAATTTTGAATCTGAAAATAATTTGTTGAGTTTTCGAAGATGAAATTTGACGTTATCCAATACAAACGCATGCAACCTCGAAAAGGAGCGGCTAGACGAGGGTATGCAATCTCTCTGATTGCTATTGTTGTAACTGTGATCATAGAACAAAAAAAGAACAGAAGAAGATAATGCAACCGTATGATCACGATCAAGGTAATGTTTCTGAGTAACAACCTACTAACTAAAATAAGGAGGTATACAAAGACTATGACAGCAGGGACAAGTTAATGAGAATCACTGAACGTTATCACCGGCAATGAAGCTGATAAAAACCCAGCTAATCTTGTCGTGACTTTTAACGCTCGAGTAATTTTATCATTCTTCAGTCGTGCCTGGATTGTTTACCTGCACGATGCTACTGCAGTTCAAAATAACATTTTAGAACTGTGACGTAGATAGCAGTCAAGTTTTTATGCCTAAAAAACGTACTGCTAAGCTTCTCATTCTATGCGTCTGTTCGTGTATCTTTCTGTGTGGACTTTTCTATGTATTCAATGTGTGTTGTTTGTGTGCTCACCGTTTATATAGGCTTCCCACTCAATGTATATTTTTCTACGCATGTGTGTCCATTTTTCTGATTTTCAGTACGATTTTTATGAGTCAACAGAGGTAATAACGTAAACAGTTTTCGGCTGTTATATATTTTATTTTTCGTCACGTGAAGGAACACCTCTTATTTATTGAAATTATTGTAGCCCCCCCCCCCGTTCCATGATGGCTTAGCAGTAAGCTTGAGGACATATAAAGCTATAATTTGTGGTTAAATCACTTCAACGTGCAGTTCTATGCTTAATAGCAAACACAAATAAAAACTATATTGCATGCTTACAGCAAATAAAGCGTTAATATAAACAAACTTCTTTGTAGTAAAAATGTCAAATACAGTAACGTAGTAAAAATGTCAAATACAGTAACGTAGT